CGCCCCGCACCCCCCTAAAGCAACAATAACAAAACTCAGCTACCCACCAACAAATCCCACAACCACACTGGTCCCATCCTTGTAGAAAAATGTGTTCCCTTTATTTCACCCTTTGCAGTCTGGCTGCTCCTTAAATTAGGACCGGCTGGGGAGGGAAGGGGTGCAAGGCCATGGAATCTGGGGAAAAGCAAATCAAGTTTGATGAGTAATTAGAAAAGAGACTGGAAGTTAGGACTTTAGAGTTTGGTTCTCTACACTGGAAAAGAGGTAATTCCTTAAAGGGTAAAATCTCCTTCAGGGACTGACAAGTCTCTGAGAACAAAAGGTCTGGAGGTAAGCAGGGAATGGGGAGGGCACGCTAAAGCTGAGGTTGGGAAAGGGAGACAGATAAGAAGTTGAGAACTATATCTGGAAATCCAGCAAAACAGAAGCAGGAAAAGTGTGGGAGACAGAAAATTCGACCATCAGCGAAATCTAAGACCCAAGAATTACACTGGTCAGCTAGAGAGGAAGGAGGTATTGGGGGTTAGAAGGGAGGGAAAGAAAGCAAGAGAAGGAATAACAGGCTGGACAGAAATTAGGTCAGGTAGGAAGCTCCAGAAATCCTAGAGATCCAAGAACTAACACAAGTTTGTGGTATAAGAATGGAAAAAAGTTCAGTGCTCTGTACTGTAATGGGAGCAAAAGTACTTTCCCCACAGAATCCACAGGAGGAGCCATGATCAATTAAATGAAAGGTTTCTCGGGGTCTTGGGGGCAGCTAACAGGTTTGTGGAAGGTATATGGGGGAAACCTATTCCCCAGTAACTGTTTGAAGACTGTGTACCTCCAGCGCTCCGTACACAAATTGGGGTCAGGAGGACAAGCTCTCTCTCCAGCCAACCTCTGGAATTCAGTTTGAACCATGGAAACCTCAGGATCCAAATCTTTAGAACATGTAACACCCAAGTCTGGTTCTTTCCATGTCAGCCTTCCCAGTGGGGGTATCCTCTTGGGCTATGTATCTGGTTTAGAAAAACTGATACCAGTTGCTTGTCAAGAAATGGACCTCAGCTGGAAAGTCTTTTTCATCAAAACATTAATTAAATATATAACTGCATACAGCCTGAGCTGTGTATGGGCTCTTCAAGGCGTGAATGCCTGGCTAAAACGAAGAAAACTGCTGCAACTTTTCCACGTCTGCAGAGTAGCTACTACTCATAGATGGGCCAGTCTTATAACATGCAAAGGAGTGGGTAAATATCCTAGAGCAAGATTCTGCTGAACTGGAATGGAGCCAGGTGTGAGGGCACTGAGCCAACCCTTCCAGGCAGTGATCTTACAGCCTGTTCTTCCTGGTGTCCATGCTTTTGCTCTGAGGATAGACAGGGAAAAGGCTCTCCTCTGGCTGGGATGACACAACTAGGTGACTGAAAAGAAAGCCAAAGAGAGGCTGGGGAAGGGAGATAGGAGTTGCTTTTTATTGACTTGGTAGTGAGGTCTGCAGTACAGCCCCTTTAGGTTTAAGAGCATTTTTCTGCTTCCTTTCTTCTTCCTGCAACTTCTCTTGCTGCCTGAGCTGCCATGCCTGTAATCCAGCATCCATTTCCTGTGACAACAGCACAACTCGTCTCTGAAACAGATAGGAAAACAGTGTGGATAACATCTGGGGCTTGAGCTCTGTACCATATATCCTTTCACTCACAGATCAAAGTCAGAGGTTTCAGCTGGAAAGTGACACTGCTGACTGGGGAAGGGGCGGGACCAGGTCCAGGGTTGGGAAGCAGGAGGAAAGCAGTAAAATGTCTGGCAAAATGTCTACGACTGGTTCCTGTCCTAGGAGTGCCCCACTCTATTCTTCCCTTCTCACAGTACTGTTAAAATCTGTGGCTGTTGAAATCTTGGTGTGAGGGGTACATGTTAGCTTAGGTGCCAAAACAGCTCAAGACAAATTACGATTTAAATTTTCTCCCTCCGATAACATGCAGGTTGCCCTGGCTGGGGCTCTAGCCACTCACTGCAAACTTCTCCCTTTGGGCTTTTCTTCGAAGCTGGCCTTTCATTGGAGGAGCTGGGCGGCCATCTGCAGATGGAAGTGAGAGAAAAAGCAAATGTTAGACATGGACTGTAGCACCTTGTGAAAACACTGACAGAAATTAGGGAAGAACCAATCTCTAGCTCCTTTTCTCCATTTCACACCCTCTGTAGCTTAATTCTCCTAAAACATGTTCCTCCTTTTCAAGGGTGAATTATGCCCAGAACCACCAAGATTACACTCCTAGGCATGTTCCTACTCTATTTCATTCACTTCTCAATAGCTTAGAATTTAAGGTCCTTCCTGACACTGAATCTCCCGTTTTATTTTAAGAAACCCTCCACTAAATCTGATCACTGTTCTGCTCACCATGAGTCTTTGCTAAATTCCACCTCACTCCATGAGACTCATACTTCTTTACTTCCAGCCAAATTCTCATCCTTAGGTCCACCTCAAGCCCTACCTGTCCCAGAAACCCTTCTCTAACCTCTTCAATTCTCTCTTCTGAAAGAAGTGCATATAAATCAGTTAATATTCATCTATTTGCCTTGGGACATTTATTGTACCATTGTTTTTAGCCTTAGCCATCTCAAATCCTTTTGAAAAGAGGCAGAGCACTGACGTATTATCATTGAATTTTTAAAATATCCATACTTAGTTTTCCCAGCTAGACTTTAAATTCCTTGGGATCAGGGACTGTATCGCTAGCTTTCACTGTAGTGCGGACACATAAGCACATACGAAAAATTGCATAAATATCTGCGGACCTGCTAAAAAGATGCAGTATCTCAAGTAGTTTATAACAGAGATGAAGAGAAAGGGCACTTCCAACAAAGAAAACAGTGAAAACACTCCCCAAAAGTTTGAAGATGGATAAGAGAGCATTTATTAGTAAAGGGAACCAGTACTGTGTATGCCATGTGCTTTACATTGGTTGTTTCATTTTATCTCTCCGAGAACCATATGAGGTAGGTATTCTTCTTTTACAGATATATAAACTGAAATACAATTAAGTAACTTGTCTAAGACCCATAAAGTTAGCAAGTAGAGAAGCCTGGATTAAGAATCGATTCCAGTCTTCCTACAGTAAGTAACAAGTAAAAAAAAATCTTCGCCTCTCTCCTCCAAGTATTTGATTAAGCAGGATAACACTCCTATAAAACCCAATAGAGTATTGATACTCAGGATTCCACACTGTTGAAGAAGGCCTGACCTCTGCCCAGTTCTAGTCTTGGCTTTGCCATTATCTAGTGGGTGATAACTTTTGTAGACCTCAATTTTCCCACCTATAAACTGGAGTTCCATAGGGAGCTGTCGAGTGGCTTCAACTTTTCTAAGGTCCCTCTCTTCTACAGCTTATATTTCTTTTCTTTATTTATTTTTAAAGTAAAGGGAAGAGAATTTTCTGAAGGGAGCCCACCATCCTCAATCCTTACTTTTATAACCCTTTTTCTGAGTCGCTCATTTAGGCAGCTTTTTAAGGAGCTCTTCCTGCATTTGGTACCAAATTCTCAAAAATGGACTCACCACACAGAAGGGCGGTTCTTCCTAACTTTTTAAGAACCACGTCCCCCTTTGAGAAACGTCAAAGTCTTGTCACTCCCTTCCCTGGGGGCTTCCCAAGTCAGAATTGTCTTCTGCTTATCTGCACAAGCCAAAAAGATCCCGTCTAGCTTTATTGTCCATGGGCGTAATTTACAAAATAAACAATAAGGCTTCTTCCCTCCAACTCCAAATATAAAGTTCAATACGTTGTCCACTCAGATACACCCCAACCTTGACACTACGTCCAACCCCCGCTCTGTCCTGGGGCGTTCTCTCTGGGTGAACCTCTCCGAAGTAGTTAACTGCCAGATCAGCGCTCACCCGCGTAAGACCAGTCTGGGAGCTCCGTAAGGGGCCCGTAGCCGGAGGGGCTGGCAGCCAGGCCCTGCCTGGGTGGAGAAAAACAGTCCGGTTAGGACACAGCACGTCTCTGGCTCCCCAGGTTCCCCCAAACCTGCACTCACTGGAGTCGCCACTGGCTGCCCGCCCGAATTGCCGCGCTGCAGTGCAGCCTCCGGATACCTGCTGGGAAACCAGGGCAGAGATGCAGTCAGCTCAAGGGTCCCAGGCGCGCCCCCGCGGGCTCCCGAGCCCATGGACCCTATATCCACTTACTAGAGAGCAGAGTACCCAAAGCTGCCATGCTGATGCCGAGAGGACGGAAGTGGGCGTGGCTCATATGGCCACGTGAGACTTTGCAGAGGAAGCAGGAAGCCGCCATCTTGAATATGGTTTTCACCACGGGCCCCGCCATCTTGGGTCATTGTACGGAAAAGAGGGTCAAAACTGCGGATGGGCTTTGGGAAAGAACGGTCGTTCGGCGTGTGCATCCTCAATGGTGGTTACATCTTCAGTGAATGTCGTGCCTTCCCAGCTTGAACCGTTCTGAACTGTTTTCCTGACCTTCCTGCAGCGGTTTCTAGTCCTCTGAGATTTATCCTTTTACCTCAGTGGAGTAACATACATGTTACCTCATTCTATCTTCTGCCGCATCACTGTAAAATATTTTTCCCAGCTTAAGAGTCAAACCTAGAGTGAATCAGAAAGTCTGGGTTTCAGTGCTCACTCATTTATCCAACAAAATTGAAGAGCTTCTATGTGACAAGCACTGTTTTTGGCGCAGGAGATTCTATGGAGAGCAAGACAGACATTTTGATACAGCTTTCAGTCTACAGAGAGAAGACAATGATCAAATAACCACATATTACTGTAATATGACAGCTGAGATGCATGCTGAGAAGGGAAGTATGTGTTGTTTGTGAGCATGTAATGGAAACGATCTAGAGTAGGCTGTCAAGGCCTTGAAGAAGTATAGGGGCTTAGATCTGATTCCATTTTTATAAGAGATACCATAACATCGTCTAATATAATCTTTTCAGCAACCATGTGAAGTAGTTACTAATAAGTGGCAAACACAGATTTATGACTCCTTCCCTCTTTTTTTCTTTTATTACTTCCTTGCCTTGGGAAAGTCATTTATCTTTAATTTTTTCATTAAAAAATAGCTTAATATATCACATTTGTGCAAACATTTTAAGAATGATAATGTATGTGAAAATGCTTTATAAACGGTGAAGCTACTACGAAAGTGCCCATTACTGTGTTCTAGGCTAGACACTTAAACATGTGCTGACTGGGGGAATGTGAGGGAATGGTGTAATGGCCTATCTTGAAGTTTATCATTTCCTTCTGCAAGACTGGGAAGTTTTTCCACAGGAGGTTGCTCTGAGCTGTGCTTTGAAAGAGGGGAAGGGTAGATCCTAGTTTAAGAAGTAAAAGCAGCTGTTTTGATAACAATAAGAATAGTATAGGCCAGGGCCGAACTAGAAGACATGAGAATAAAAGAACCTTGGCTATAAGCCAACAGATGGGCCCAAAAGCTAAGCAAAGGAAATAAGACAATATAGTACCATTATCATCTTACAATCGAATAGTTCATTTCCACTTATCAAAATACTTCTACATAAATGATTTCATACAATTTTCATAATACACCTGTAAAGTAGATAAGACAGTCCGGGAAGCAATCATTATATAGATTGCTTGTAGTTTTTAGAGATCAGGAAATTGAATGAAAATGTGGCGGTGAATTTACTGTTTTACAGTTGTAACAACTACTGAGCGACACCTTCCCCAAGTCGGGATCTTGTGCCTTTGGCTGGTTCTGAGATAGATAGCTGAGGCAGACAGTACTGGAATCCCATTACAGAGTTTATAGTTGAGGAATCAAGTAGTAGAAGCCAAAGTCTGGAAAAATAACCTCAGTGTCAACAGTCAAGATCAACAGGAAAGATGACAGGCTGGCACTACCACCAATGTTATATATTTATAGTCTTCATAGAATTGAACCAGTAACATTCCTCTATTCTAGTAGCTCACACACTAGGGGGATACCGCTGATCTACAAAATCACAAAAAAGGATACATGTGTTAAGGTGAACAAATAATGTGTACAATATGAACCCCACATGCAGGAGTGAACACATGCAATACTTTAATAGATGTGGGAATCAAGGAGCTAGAGCTGGAGAACTCTGGGGGCAGGATGGGAAGTTTAGGAAAACTCGGAAATTTGGAAGGGGAAAGGTCTTTGGAAGGAAGACAAATTTAGCCTTTGACTCAGTTTGATGTGGCAGGGGGACAATCCATGCATTATAAATAGCAGGAAATATGGGTTAGGATTTTGAGACAGAGAAAGAACACCAGTGCTGACAGCTAACGTCATCGGCATTCTCAGAGACCTCATGGAACACTTGCAGGGGAGGAGTCTGGCACTTGGACAGCACTCCTCAATGACTTCATCAGATTCATAAGCCACAGGAAAGCAGCTTTAGCATCCCAAACTAGATGTCTTTCAACGTCTGGAGTTCATCTGGCAAAAGCTAGAGTTAAGAGCAATGGGAAGCAGC